ATAAAGTGCGCTCTATAGACAATTTTCTTTAAATTGGTTTAAAACTGTCAAAATTGGAGAAAAATCAAATTTTTTTTGAAATTTTTTGTCAAAAAATGTGAAAAATTCAAACTTCGCGCTGATCTCAACAAGACCAGTAAGGATGAAAAAAAATTTTATCAAAAAATCTTCGATTTCCAGCGAAAAAAAGAGCTGAAATCTGAAAAAAATTTCAGAAAATTTTTTTTTGGAATTTTTTAATTTTTTTTTCCGAAAACTTAACTTTTTGTGTATTCTCATTAAATTGAAATTCAAGAATGCTTAAAAATGAGCCTAAACACGACTAGGCTCCGCCCACTTTGAAATTTCCCATTGACACGCGACGCACGACCGCGTCGCTCCTGAATAATGAAGGTGGGCGGAGCCCAGTCGAGTTTGGGCTCATTTTGAAGCGCAAAACATGCTGAAAACGAATATGACTATGAAAATTCAAAATTCTAAGTTTTTGAAAAGAAAAAGGGCATTTTGTTTTTGCGAAAACATCAAATGATGACTAACTGTTATTAGCATATAGTCGACGTTGCATGAATTTTTATGATTTTTGGTTTTCCAAATGTCTCTCACACTCTCCTGACTTCCCATACTCTCTCGCTCGTTTTTCTTTTCCGTCTCTCTTCTCTAAATTTTCGAATAAAAGGAAAAAATATTTTCCCAAAAAATCATTTATCAAAAATGACTGGTATCTGATTTTTGCCTGGTCTAATCGTCTTGAAATATTGATTTTTTCTGAAATTCTAGATTTATTATTTAGCTGAAAATGTGCAAAAAGAAAATGGTAAGCAGACATTTTTTCTCAAAAATCTGAAAATTTCAGAAAAATGTATTTTTTCAGATTTTTTTGGAGACTTTAATTCAAACTCTGTATCGCAGAAGTAAGTTTGAAATTTTTGATTTCTGAAAAAAAAACCAAAATGTTGTTTTCCAGAAATACTACAAAATTTTGGAAGAAATGGGAATTTTTCAAATTGTTTGCGGCTGGATAATCTGTAAGTAGTTTCTTGTTGGGTTACTGTAGATTAGAATTTTTCCTGAAAAATATCAAATTTTTTCAGACTGGGATTGCACACCAAACCAGTCAAATACTTGGAATACCGAAGACGATTTTTTAATTTTAATTGTTTTTTTCTCAAATTATTTTTTTTTCCCGAATAAAATTTCTCATCTTTTTCAAGATCAAGAGTTTCAAGATCACAACATTTGAATTTGGCGCGTTGAGAGCTTTAAAATGAGCCCAAACACGACTAGACTCCGGCCACTTTGATTTTTCGGGCGCGTCGCGGTCGTGCGTCGCGTGCGCAAGGGGGAATTTCAAATTGGGCGGAGCTTAGTCGAGTTTGGGCTCATTTTGAAGCTCACAGTGAATTACGTAAGAATAACACAAAATATTCCAAAAAAGTTTTGATTTTCAGCCGAAAAAAACCGGAATTTCAAGAGAAATCAGAAAAAAAAATTTTTTTTGAATTTTTTTTCGAAAATTTGGAAATTCTGAGTATTCCCATCGAATTGGAATCAAAATTCTTCAAATTAAGCTTGAACACGATAAGGCTCCGCCCATTTTGAAATTCCGCCTATACACGCGACGCACGATCGCGACGCTTCAGAAACTGAAAGTGGGCGGAGCCTAGTCGTGTTTAGGCTCATTTTGAAGCTCTGAACCTCCTGAATTCAAAACCACCTTCAATTTCAGGCCTAAGCAGCTTTTAAACCAATTTCTAGACCTTTTTAAAAACATAGACATTAAAAAGTTGTCCTCATCATCTCGACTTCTTAGAACCCAATCAAATTTTGTCCCTCTAGCTCTTTTGGGTCCTTCCCCCATTTTCTCGTTTTCTTCTTCTTCTTTCTTCTTTGATTGCGCAGCCCTAACAAGAAGCAACATATAACATTCATCCCCCTTGTCTCCCTTCTCTTCTGTCCCTTTAAGCCTCTTTTTATATGGGTATTATATGTATTTGAGCAAATAATAGAGAGAAGGGTCCTTTAGCAAAACATGTCCTGAGTAAATAAAAGAAAAAAGCAAGTTTTTTGACTTACAGTAATTTTAGGAAAATTGAGAAAACATTTTTTGAAGTTCCACACATGATCAAGTTTGACCTTATTTATCTCGGCTACTGTGAGAGATATCAAAAATGTGTCAACTGATAAAATGTTGCTGATATTATGATAAACATTTTGATAGTTCACTACTTTTTGATGTCATTCACAGGAACTGAGATAAACTTGGTTAAAGTTTGGAGGCCAGAGTGGTGATTCTAACAGAGTGGGCGTGGTATTTTGCCCATGACGTTGTTCCCAAACAAGATACAGTAATTTATGTAGCATCATTTTGTAGCTCTTAAGCTTTTCTATCATATATACATTTCATTTTGTCTGAAAATATGCATCTTGAAAAAAGTTATTCATGATAAACAATTCAACAGTTGATAGCTTTTTGATATCTTTAACAGGAAGTCAGATAAATTGGCTAGGCGCCCTTCTAATACAGGTTTTGCGGAAACTGAAGATTACTGTGGCTCTTGAAGAAATTTTGAACAAAAAAACAACATTTCTAGAAATCCCATCTCTCTTTGCCAAGAATTGAAGAACCCAGTCATCCGGAATGGAATCTTCTCTCCAGATGGAGCGTAAAGATAAAAGAAGAAGAGATCTTCCTCTTCTTTTGGGACCCTTTTTCTCTTCATTTCATAATTTATGACACCCTCCTCTTCTGTTATCCAAAACGAACGGCGGCCCAATTAATATCGCCATATTCACACGAAAACGAGAAAAAGAGGAAGAGAGATTTAGAGATTTAGAGAAGATCCAGATAAGAAACGAATGATTATTTTATTAGAGGAGAATACACTTGTTTGCTTTTCCTATCATTGGAATAATCTAGAATATCATAGATTCTCTTAATTATTTGGTTTTAATGGATCCCGGTTTTGAAATCTTACCACTAATAGAATCCCCTCCCCCCCCCCACTCCTAACTTTAAGCCTATTTATCACGGTTACTGTAAGAGATATCGAAAAGTGATTAACTAACAAAATGTTCATCACAACATGAGCTATATTTTATTAGTTGTCTACTTTTTGATATCTTCAACAGGGAGCGAGATAAGTCGCCTAGAAATTTATGGAAAAGAACGCCCAGTTGTCTCCGTCCACCTATAGCTCAACTTTGAGCTCAAATATCTCGGTTTCTTCAAAAGATATTAAAATATTGTCAACTGATAAAATGCTCATCATAATATCAGCTACATTTTATTAGTCGACGACTTTTTGATATCTTTTACAAGAGCCGAGATAATTGAGCTGAAAGGTAAAAAGTTATTTTCATTGGAGAGCGCTCCTTTGATCCAATTTATCTTAGTTCCTATTAAAGATACCTAAAATAATTTAAATAACAAAATGTTTATCATAAAATCAGAAACATTTTATCAGTTGATCACTTTTTGATATCTCTCACAGAAACCGAGATAAATTGGCTCAAAGGTACAAGTCAATGGGACTTATTCACAATCATACAGAGCCAAATGTTCAGATCCAATTTTCTTATTTTTTTTCGTTTTTGCGGATTTTTTTCTCACACTTTTAAATCTCATATACATAGTTTCACTTTTCCCCCTATTCCAACGGTAATTAAGTATGTCCTATACTTAATTACCCCTCCATTCCCAATCTCGTTCCGTTCCAATTCGAAAAACCGAAACACACGAAAAATGCAACAGATTTGTGTCATTCATACATATGTCACCATATACAATGTTATGATTTATGTTTTTGGAGAGATATTTAATTGGGAGGGTAATTAGGGGAGTCGAAAATTGGTTGGTTTAGTTCCAAATAGTCGAAATTGGCTAAAAAACCAAATTTGGGTACGTTAACTTTGAGCTCTTATATCTCGATTCCTGGGTAAGATATCAAAAATGTGTGAATTGATTAAAATAGTTGATATTATGATAAACATTTTATCAGTTGACCACTTTTTGATATCTTTCAAATGAACTGAAATTTATGAGTTCAAAATTTGGGAATTCCAACTTTTAGAATCGTATTTGGTCTAAAAACTGTCAAATTTGAGCTCTTATATCTCAATTTTTGTGCAAGATATCAAAAATATGTCAACTGATAAAATATTTTTGATAATATAACAAATATTTTATCAGTTGACCACTTTTTGATATCTTTTAAAGGAACTGAGATATATGGACTGAAAGTTGACGATTTGAATGGCATTCTACTAGAGGAAGAGGAGAGAGACTTTTGGATTTTTTTTTCAAATTTCGCGCTTTTTTAAACTCAATTGACCACTGGGATCTTCGAATCGAAATCTATTGCTCATCCTCCGTTGTTTTTAGTGCCACCTGTTACTCTTTTTTCTAATTTTTACACCAATTTTACGATTCTGAGTGACCTAAGAGAACAGCAGAAAAGACAAGGCGGAGAGAGAGAGTGTGGGATTTGAGGAGACGCAGAGAGAAAGAAAGAGAGAGAGAGTACGATTTACAACTGTTTCGTCATCCCCATCTCCATTCGATATTGACCGACGACCCCACGGACTGGAGATTTTTATCTTGGAAAATCGTTTTTTTGGAATTTCGGGAGTTTTTGGTTTTTTTGAAATGTCGAAATATTCATTTTACACTGTTTTAGGCAATTTTAAACCATTTTAAACGGATTTTTGGGGGTATTTCAGAGAGTTTCTGTACCAAATTCGGGTCATTTTTGGACTATTTCGAACAATTTTTTGGCCAGATTTTGGGCCATTTTGGAACATTTATGAGCCGTCTTTAGGCCATTTTTGGACTATTTTCAGCTATTTTAAGCTAATTTTTAGACCATTTTCATGTCATTTCTAAGCTCTTTTTTGGCTATCCATAGCCATTTTTATCATTTTTTGGTAATTTTTGGACCATTTTTAGCCATTTTTAGCAATTCTCAGCTATTTTAAGCCATATTTCAGCCCTTTTCACGTATTTTTAGCCCATTTTGCAGCTATTTAGGAGCTATTTTTGAGTCATTTTATTTTTGGGGCATTTTTTGGTAATTTTTGGACAATTTTCAGACATTTAAACATGTTTTTGGACCTTTTTTGGACTTTTAAAATCACTTCTTAGCCATTTTTTAGCCGTTTTGAGCCATTTCAGCCCATTTCGAGTTAATTTTGTTCACTTTTTAGCCATTTTTAGACCATTTTCGGACTATTTTTGAGCCATTTTTGAACCATTTTTTAGCTATTTTGAGCCATTTTCAGCTTATTTTTGGGTCATTTTTTGGTAGTTTTTGGACGATTTTTAGCCATTTTAACCTAATTTTTAGACCATTTTTATTTCATTTCTTAGCTCTTTCTTTTTGGTTATTCTCAGCCATTTTTAGCCTATTTTAAACCTATTTTCAGCCATCTTAAAGCCATTTTTGAGTTATTTCTAAAAACTATTTTAAAGCCATTTTGATACACTTGTGATCAGCTTTTGGGTCAGTTTCGAGCTATTTGAAGCCATTTTTTGCCATTTCTGGGATGTTTTTAACTATTTTCGATCATTTTTCGGCTATTTTAGCGCTATTTTCGAGCTATTTTGGCCTACTTTTGAGCTACTTTCAGGCCTATTTTCAGATAATTTTAAAGCTATTTTCGAGCCATGTTGGCCCACTTTATAGTCATTTTGATCCCTTTTTTAGTCATTTTTTAAAACCATTTTCAGTCCATTTTTCGCCATTTTTTGACAATTTTTGGGATATTTTTGAGCCATTTTCATCCTTTTTCGGTCATTTTTCAGTAATTTTCATCCATTTTCAGCTGATTTTCAGCATATTTTCAGTCATTTTTAGACCCTTTTTAGCCGCTTTTGAGCCTTTGAAGATCATTTTTGAGAAATTTTTAAGCCATTTCTAGCAATTTTCAAGCTCTTTCAAAGCTACTTTTTAGCTAATTTTAAGGCATTTTTTAGTCATTATTGATTATTTTTGGGCTATTTTCAAGCTATTTTAAAGCCATTTCCAGTTATTTTTTGGTTATTTTTTTACTTTTAGATTATTTTCAGACTAATTTCCCCCATTTTTGGACTATTTTCCCCCTGAAAAGTTTCGAAATTCCCTACAAAATGTAAACTAAAAAATTCCCGAATCTCCCCTCCGGAACCGCCTAATTTGATGTCGTTTTTGACTCCAAAAAGCTCCCAAAAAGCTCCAATATTCTTCAGAATTTTCGAATTTTTCGACTTTCTTGTGGGATCAAAATGTTTGAAAATTCTGTGCTGTGTGTGTCTTCAGAAGACGTCGACGACGTCTTCCGGAGTATCTTCTATTTGGATTTGTGTGACAATCAAATCTCGTTAGTACTAGTCCCATGCTTTTTGAGGAAAATTTTTTTTGAAGCCAAAAAAACCAAAAAAAAGTTTTTTTTGGTTTTTTTGGTTGGAAATTTGACTGAAAATTTTAATCTGAAATACCTTTTTTTCTTTAAAAAACTTAAAATAGTCGAAATTATGTTATCACTTTCTTACTCAGCTCATCGTGAGCTTTAAAATGAGCCCAAACACGACTAGGCTCCGTCCACTTTAATTTTTCAGACGCGTCGCGGTCGTGCGTCGCGTGTCTAACAGAACTTTTCAAAATGGGCGGAGACTAGTCGTGTTTGAGCTCATTTTGAAGCTCATGATGCGCTCAAAACAATGAAGAGAACTAGAAATTGAAATTCAGATGGATTTCCCGAAATTTTCTGAATTCAAAAAAAAACATTTTGGATTTTTTCAACTATTTTTTCAAATTTTTTCGAATTTCCCGCCGAATGGATTTTTGGATTTTTCGTAATCGTAGTGAACAAACAAAAATGACTACAGCATAATCATATTATGAGATGGTGTGGTCCAGGGAAAAAAGAGAATCAAACATCAAA